ACATAACACATCTGAGCAGGTGGCTTTAAAATAAAACAAAACAAACACCAAAAAACAATACAATGCCAGACAGCACTCTCCATCACCCCCTGTCTGCCTCACTCCCAATAATTGCTGAGATAGGCACCCTGGCCAAGTGGGGATCTGCCTCCATCACAGTCCCTGTCCACTGAGTCGCTCTGTTGACGCGCAGGTCTCCATTCTGCCATGAAGGCTCTTCTGAGCCCTCAGCTGCACTCTGAGTACACCAAGCTGGGGGGAATCCCTAGAGTGGTGTGTGAGGACACCATCTCCCCTTCCCAGCCCAGGGAGCCCCAGCGCCCTGAAAACCTGCAGTGGGCCTCAGATAGATCCACCAGGTCCAATCCTCCCCATAAGTCCTTTTCTCTCCCTCGGACACCAGGCAAAACCAGTTCTGTGGGGTGAATGTAGAGGTGTTATGCAGTGAGTCTGGTTGTCTACCTACCCCGATCCTTGACCCCAAAAGCAGCTAAGTGCAAACAGTTATTTACTCAATCTGTCATTTGATTATATTGAAGCCCAGCTGCTGAACCCAGAGAAAACTGTCTTTATGGTGGGTAGAAACTTCCTGTCAAGGACAGTTAATTTTAATTTTTCCACTGAGCTCAACCTCAAAGTGAGGTTGATTGCTACTCAGCAAGATGGACTGCATTAGTGGAGTCTTTAATTGAGCGCAGATCTATGTCCCAAAAGCATAATGTTTGTTGTATACATACTTTGGGACAAGAAGAAAAATGAAAAGCAGAGATTTCTAAGGAAAAATTGAAAGCAGAATGTGTTCCATAATCAGGATGGCAGCACGAAAGGCCAGCTGGGGGGCTTGGTTGAAGTCCTCGCCTCTCTACGCCTCCGTTCTAATGGGCTGTTGGCAAATGTTCCTAGAAGCGCGATGCCTGCGTTCATCTCCCTCTTTCCCAAACACTGGACTCCATTGTAGTTTCTCTCATAGCAAACAAAGAGCTCCAGGGAAGCAGCGATCGATGAGAGCCTCAGCGAGGGGCCATGGCATGTGTTTCAGCTGCATGGCTCCTCTTGGCCAAGGTGCTGATCCATGCTTGCATCCGTTATGGCCACTTCTGTCCACGTCTTTTCACCAGTGGCCTTGAGATGAGCCCTCAGCTGGAGCACAATGCCACTTCTGGCCTCTTACTGTTATGGTTTTGGACCCTTGTACCTCTTCCCTGAGCTGTAGAATTGATCTTTGTGATATTGAAAGAGGTGTCCTCTCGAAGGCCGGATGGGATCACTCTCCTCAAATCCACCGCTCCTTGACTTCCAAATACAGATCCTGGCACCCAAGCACTTCCATGTTCGAATCCCACTCTCCCCCTCCAAGAGTCCGATCACATCCTGTGCTCTGGCCTAATCAGTCCCCTCCTCCCTGCCTCCATTCTCAATCTATCAGCGAGTCAGCTGTGACAGCCTTCTAGTCCAGACTACTCTCCTCTCTCAGCTGTACAACTGTGACAGGCTCCCCCAGAGCTCCTCAGTTATATTTTTTGCCCCTCTCCAACTCTATCTCCACACATCAGCCAGACTGATCTTTAAAAAAGTAAACAATGCTCACCTCTTCCTTAAAATCCTGTGGCATGTGGCATTCTACCGCACCGCCACATTCCCCCTACCTAGATGAAATACTTTTTCTCCACTCTTCCCCTGCCTAGCTGCTTCTCATTCCTCAAATTAGCTTAAATGCCACTTCCCTGTAGTGACCACCCCTGACCACCTTATCTAGAGCAGGACCACAGTTGTTCTACACAGCTCTCAGCTACTGTCTGAAGTGATCTTGTTTATTCCTTTGTTGGTAATTTGCTATCTCTATTGGAATCTAAGCTTCCTAAGGGACCTTGACTCATCTGTTCATTGCTGCACCATCAGCACCCAGGACAATGCTTGGTACACAATAGAATCTAAATTATTATTTGGGGATAAATGATTAAATACAGGAAATAATAAACATATCCTGAAAGACCTTCATTACCTCCAGCCTCCATTTCTTATGTTGTGCTACCTCCTTGGCTTGACATGCCCTTGCCTCCCCCTTTCCTCTTCCATCTCCAAGGATTGACATTTGTAGGAAGTAAGACAGGCTCTACAGCCTCTCTCCCCTAAAGTCTGCTCTGTCCCCTCTAGGCAGAAATAACCCCAGCTTCTTCTGCCCCATGTTCCAAGGCCACCTACTTCAACATGACTTGACCCTGTTCCTGGACATTCTTGCCTAGAAAAATAAAGCTATGAACCAGAATATAACTTCACTGTTGGCTTCAGGAACTTCTCCAAATCAATGCAAACAACAAACTGCTCAAATAGCTCTCCTTCTCAGATTATTTTTTTAAATATATATGTATATATAATTGATTGTACTATTACAGTTGCCCCATTTTTTTAATCCTCTTCATTCACCTCCACCCTGGACACCCCACCCCCTTAGTTCATGTCCACGGGTCATACATATAAGTTCTTTGGCTTCTCCATTTCCTATATTGTTCTTTCTTTTCTTTTTGGGGGGGGGTATAATTTTATTTATGTATGTATTTATTAATATATTTTATTGATTATGCTATTACAGGTGTCCCATTTTTTTCTCCCCTTTATTCCCCTCCGCCTGACACCACCCCACCCTCACCATTCCCTTTCCCCTTAGTTCATGTCCATGTGTTTTACACATAAGTTCTTTGGCTTCTCCATTTCCTATACTATTCTTAACCTCCCCCTGCCTATTTTGTACCTACTATTTATGCTGCATAGTCCCTGTACGTTTACCCTTAATCTCCCCGCCTCCCTCCCCTCTATTTTACTGTTCATAGTTTTTGATCTTCTTTTTCTTAGATAAGTCCCTCTAACATTTCATATGATAAGGGCTTGGTGATGAACTCCTTTAACTTGATCTTATCTGGGAAGCACTTTATCAGCCCTTCCATTCTTAATGATAGCTTTGACAGGGTAATCTTGGATGTAGGTTCTTGTCTTTCAAGACTTTGAAAACTTCTTGCCAGCTCCTTCTTGCCTGCAAGATTTCTTTTGAAAAATCAGCTGATAGTCTTATGGGAACTGCTTTGTAGGTAACTATCTCCTTTCCTCTTGCTGCTTTTAAGATTCTCTCCTTATCTTTAATCTTGGGTAACTTAATTATGATGTGCCTTGGTATGTGCTTCCTTGGGTTCAACTTCTTTGGGACTCTCTGAGCTTCCTGGATCTCCTGGAAGTGTGTTACTTTTGCCAGATTGGGGTAGTTTTCCTTTGTTATTTTTCCCAATGTTTTCAATTTCTTGCTCTTCCTCTTCTCCTTCTGGCACCCCTATGATTCAGATGTTGGAATGTTTAAAGTTGTCCCAGAGGTTCCTAAGCCTCTCCTCAGTTTTTTGAATTCTTGTTTCTTCATTCTGTTCTGGTTGAGTGTTTATCTCTTCCTTCTGCTCCCAATCATTGATTTGAGTCCCGGTTTCCTTCTTTTTCCTGTTGGTTCCCTGTATGTTTTTCTTCATTTCACTTTGCACAGCCTTCACTTTTTCCTCCATTTTGCAACCATACTCAACCAATTCAGTGAGCATCTTGATTACCATTGTTTTGAACTGTGCATCTGATAGGCTGGCTATCTCTTCATTGCTTAATTCTGGTTTTGGAGCTTTGATCTGTTCTTTCAGTTGGGCCGTATTTCTTTGTTTGGGTGCACCTTGAAATTTGTTGGCAGGGCAGAGCCTTAGGTATTCATCAGGGCGGGGCAACCCAGGTCTCTGTGTTGTGATGCTGTATGTGGGGGAGGGATCTGTGAGGAATCAATGCCCTTGTTTGGCTCTTGGCTTTCAGTCACTTCCCCCCCGCCCCCACAAGCAAATTAGGCCCTTCTAGTGCTGATTCCTGGGTGGGTGGGCTTGTGTACCTTCTAGGATCCTGTGGGTCTCTCCAATGGACTCTCCTGTGAGGCTGGGAGTTTCTCCTACTGCTGCATTCCCCACAGGTTTTACAGCCAGAGGTTTTGAGGCTTTCTTTTCCCACACGGGAACCCTGGGTTGCGTAGTCTCTCTCTCTCCCCAGCCGTTCCTCCCAGTTTATCCGCACACTAATGTGGGACCGCCCAGTCTGCCAGCTGCCGCCTCGTCCTTTATCCTCTCCACCCCAGCTGTCCATCTCTGTCCCTCATACCAGTCTGGATGAATGTTTCTTCTTTAGCTCCTTGGTGGTTGAACGTCCATACAGTTCCATTTTCTGTCAGTTCTGGTTATTTCTTGTTTTTAAATTTGTTGTTGAACTTCTTTTGGTTGTACGAGGAGGGAAAGTGTATTTACCTATGCCTCCATCTTGGCCGGAAGTCTACGATTATTGTTTTGCCCAATTAGACAATGATTCACTTACCACAGCAAGGGCTGTGCATTGTGTTCACCAATTCCATGAACATTAATATCAAGAATTTTGCCAACTCCCAGTCAAATCCTGAATTAAAAGACCTGTCTTAAACCACTCATTCAAGCCCCTACTTCCAAACCCAGCCCTCTCACAGGAGAGGCCGCTTTAAAGGGTCTCCTGAGGCTCTGTGAAGGTGGCTCTCTGCTCCACATTCGGTTTTACCTGATGAACACGTTATGGTGCAGGCCTTTGGGGATTGTATTGGGGGGGGGGGATTTGGCTGGTGACAGCCCACTCCTGCGACCACCACAGTGTTCAGCACCAAGCTCTTCTGTATTTTGTGAGTGATGAAAGAGTAAATGCACAAAGGAATAGTTCTCTACCCTACCTTCCGACACCTTCTTTCCCTTCTTGAAGCATCCCAGCCAGAAACAAGAAACAGCACAGGTGCTCAAGGGGCCAGTCAGTAATAAGAGCAGGGCTTTGGCCTAAAGAAGTTCTCCATTTCAATGACTAGGCCCTACTTTGGAAGCTGAAATCGACTGCTGAAACCAGCGGGGTGGCCCCTTAGTTTCCCCCTAGTTGCAGTCTAAGGAGCCTCAAGGCCGACCGGCCTCTCTCTACTTTGTGCCCAGGACAACGGCGCTGGACCGCTATGGGCTGCAGAAGGCGGGCTTCACGCACGTGCTGAATGCTGCCCACGGCCGCTGGAATGTGGACACAGGACCCGACTACTATCGCGGCATGGCCATTGAATATCACGGAGTAGAGGCCGATGACCTGCCCACCTTCGACCTCAGCGTCTTCTTCCATTCGGCGGCCGCTTTCATCGACGCGGCGCTCCGCTCGGATCACAGTAAGAGGCATGCAGCCCACTAGCGGCCCCGCCCCCAGCCCGTGGCCCCGCCCCTTACCCAAGGGGAAGGAGGATCTTTGCACTCCGAGTCTGCTCCCCTCTCAGAGCCGGCCAGAGTTACGTGTGGGTGAGCTGTGGGACATGTCTGAGCCCCTGGAGGCCGTAAGCCCCCCTGAGAGTGCTGCTGGTGGAGTTTTGGCTTCGATTGAATTGGCATCGGGAGGTTCAGAGGCGAGGCCTTTGGCCCGCTATTCTGCCCCCTAAGGCACGTCAGCCATCCTTGCAAAGACTGGATGGTCTGGCAACCCTTGAAGGTGGAATGACCCAGAGACACTAATTATGCCTGTGCCCAAACCCGGCTAATAGTCAAGGGTTTCGATGCCAGAAAACCCTCAGGCAGCTGACTTGAGTAGAAATCTGCGGAAAGACTCCCAATTCTCCTGCCAACTAACCAAGTCCACAGCCCCCCTACCTCCTTAACCTCCCCTCAACCAAGCCTAGTGAAGCCGCCTGTAGAAAGCTGACGGCCGAGCCTCCGTACGTGGCTAACTGCATTTGAGACTGAGCTCTGCACCTGTCATGTCCAAGTTTCCCAAGGTTAATTATCCATCTTTTAAATCACAGTCCTAGACCTTGCGCTCAAAATGCAGGTTTAGCTGCCCTACAGAGAAAGGCTACAAGGCTATTTTGGAGAGAAGGGCACAATTTAGGAATGTGTCAGGTAAGACAATACGCAGTTATTGTTGCAGGGTGTGTTTCAGTGGCATTCCATGGAGGCCAGAGGGACTTCAGCTCCCTCCCTAATCTGTGCTCTGACTTCAGCCGCATGTGTCATAACCCTTTATGGGACCATCACATAATTCAGGATATCCAGTTACAGTACTACCTCCTTATTTGCAGTTTCACTTTCCCTAGTTCCAGTTACCTGCGGTCAACTGTGGTCTGAAAATATTAAATGGAAAATTCCAGAAATAAACAATTCATAAGTTTTAAATGGCATGCCTTTCTGAGTGGCGTGATGAAATCCTGCAGTGTCCTGATCCATCTGGTCAGGGACATGAATCACCCCTTTGTTCAGTGTATCCACGCTGTATATGCTCCCTGCCCATTAGTCACTTAGTAGCCATCTCAGCTATCAGATCAACTGTCTCAGTATCACAGTGCTTGAGTTCAAGTAACCCTTGTTTTACTTAATGGCCCCAAAGTGCAAGAGTAGTGACACTGGCAATTCAGATACACCAAAAAAAAAAAAAAAAAAAAAAGCCTGTAAGTGAAAAGGTGAAAGTTCTGGGATAAGAAAAAAAATTGTATGCTGAGCTTACTGTAAAGGAATCTTTTATCTGTAAAATTGTGAAGACAGAAGAAGAAATTTGTGCTAGTTTTGCTGTCACACCTTAAACTGCAAAAGTTACAGCCACAGTGTGTGATAAGTGCTTAGTTAAGATGGGAAAAGCATTAAATTTATGGGTGGGAGACAGAACAGAAAATGTGTTCTGATTGATGGCAACGTGTTGCACCAGAAAGCTTAGTGCCTGAAGATTTCAGCAGGGGATCCCCTGAAACGAGCGACACCACGACATTTACTGCAAGTACGGGATGGCCACACAGATCCAGGAATAGGCTGGACAGAAAAATATAAAAATTACTGGAGAGGCTGTGTTTGCCAATAAAGCAGCTGTGGCCACATTTCCAGCAGAGCTGAAGAAGTTGATTGGGTTCAGTACTGTCTGTGGTTTCAGGCATCCCACTGGTGGTCTTGAGACATATCTTCCCAGATAAGCGGGGGACTACTGTACTGAAAGCCTTTCTTATCACAAGAGGTCGGGATTACAAAGCTCATGACTGACCGACTGGCCTGCTTCAGGAACTTGCAACCTGTGGCTGGACCGAGGCCACAACGGATGCCGTCCCAAGGTACACCTGGCTCCACGGCCAGCCATAGGCGCCAACAGTCTTTCTTTTGGGTCACAAAGCAATGTCGTGTTGAAAAAAGAAAGCTATGGAGCTGAAGTGCTTGTATTTGGGGATGCCTCATTTCAAAGTTGTTCTTTTATGAGTCTATTTATGGGCCATCTTTTGGGTTAGGCGCATTCTGGGTTTCCAAGCAGGATCAAAAAGCGACGCGACTCTGACTCATCACCACGAGGTAAAATTCGCCTGAGAGTATTTGAAGTTAACTGAAAACATATTTGACATGAAAAAACAAAAAGGTACAGTACAACTACCCAATCCTTCAGTTTCACTTGCCATTATTACATCTTTGGCCTTCCCCCTAATGAAAGGGGTCTGGCAGGCTTTGGAGAGGACAGGGCTGGGTTCAAATTCACAACTTACTAACAATGTGATTTCTCTGGGCCTTGGTTTCTCCATCTGGTGATAAAAATATTTATCTTGAAAGGTTATAATGAGGATCAGCAGTAACCGACATAAAGCACTTAGCAAAGAACCTGGTGCACAGCAGGCTCTCAGATGTGTTTGATAAAGAGAGGTCATGCACCATGAAACACATAACCACACCAGCACATGCACATCATCATAATAAAGTTTCCAATCCCCAAAGAAAAAAAGACATTCCAACTTTGAACTAGCATCATACACTCACATGACAGCTTGTTTTTGTTCCCAGCATGTGATTTTAGAATCTGCCCCCACTGCCAGATCAGGAAAGAATGGGGCTCTCAAGTCCTGTTTAGGCCTGGGCAGACCACAGAGCTTCGATGTGGAGATGTCAGGCTGGTACGGATAGTGACTGGAAGGCCAGGCAGTGGGAAGCACCTAGCAAAGGAAGGGCCAAGAGGGAAAAGTATATACCCAGGTCAGAGAGTATGCAGGGGTGGGGGACTAGACCAGTTGGCTGGGGACAGGGATCAGGACATGACCGCATGCCAGGTGGGAGGCTGGGCTCCCTTCTCAGTGCCCTTTGCACTTGGACATCTGAAGACTTCCCTGAACTGAGGGATCAAAGACCAACCCTTCCCCACCAGGCAGAGAATGAATGAATGAAGCTGGCGGCATGTAAGGCAATGGGTGCAGTTAGGGGTGCTTGTGGCTAAGCGGAGAGCTCGCATGCCTCCCGAGGAGGGCAGCTGCTGCTCAGTCCCAGCCGACATTTGTCTTGTGAGAATCAGCGCAGATGTGGTAGATCTGACTTTTCAGGAAACATCTCCAATCTGGATTTTAATATAATATCACTCAATTTTTAAGTGTTGGTAACAAATAGAAAATTTCTTAAAACGCTCTGAAGGCCAAACAAAAGAAGCCTGATGGCTGTCAGTTTGTAACCTGAGTAGTCAAAAGAACAAAATAAAGTGTTGGTTAGCTTAGCAATGGCATTGTCATAGATTCCAGATAGTGGAGATGACATGTGCTTGGCCTGCCTGCCACGTGCAGTGGGCGGCCTGGTTGTGTCTAATCATGCACTGGAAAACCAAGGGGCCTGACCATAGATAGCATTTTAAAGCCAGGCCCACTCGTGTGTTTCTTATTATACTTTTGATATAAGAGGTGTTGATGGACAGTCTGGCCGAAAGACAAGGCTGTCTCCCTCTCCTCCCTCTCGTCTTTCCTCTTCTTCCTTGGCTCGTTTCAGCCGAGTGGTACAGTGTTTCCCACGGCTGCCCCTCGCAGCTCATCTCGTTCACTCTTTTTGAAAAGCATTGCTCATGGGGCTGCGCCCGTGGTCTGAAATCAGCCCCATGGGTCCCACTCCCATCCCTATCCTACCCTGATTTGCCCCTTCTGAAAGAACTCCCAGGCCACCTCAGTCCGTCTTGAGAAATCTTAGAGATAATCTAGCCCAGGGCGCTGCCCTTAGAGCTGGGGAAACAGCAGCCCAGAGAGGCCAAGTGATGTGCCCAGGGTCACAGAGCTCATCAGAGGCCAGTGGGAATTCCTTCTGTCACTCAATTCTTTGCCCTTATTTTCAGCTTCTGGTGACTTTGCTGTGTGCAAGAGGTCACCAAATATTATGGAAGGTGAGGCATTCCAGCTGCTTATAGAATTTGAAACAACTGAACTTGTCATACTTCATCAGAAAAACAAGTGCTGACAAAATACTGCCACAGGAACCCCATTTGGACTGCCTTAACCACTCCTCCTGCAGCATCCTCGGAGCTGAATTAGCATGGTCTTAATTTAATGAGATCTTCTAAGAAATCCCGGGGCAGACAACACAAGGCTCTGAAGGTCAGATCTTATGCCACCACTCTTCTTTCGTTCGTTCTTTTTCTTAAACAGTCCACAGCCTGCTTTTGAAGCTGTCTTAAAATCTGTTATGGACAAGGTAGCTATGAATAAATAAGTGAAGCCTGCTTTCGGGCAGGGGGTTGATTCTCTGGTGTTTCTGATCATTAACCAGATCAGACTTTCAGGGGTCTAAGGGTCTCCTGCCCCACGGCGGCGCTCACAGGCCTGCCCCTCAGCAGCTCCAAACACGCCCTGTCCCCTCTTCCGAGGACTTCCACAAGCGCAGGCCGTTGTGCTGAGGAGGGCACGCTCCAAGCTAGTGAATGAGAGCTAGGCCAAGGGCATCCCCCACACCAAGGAAGGAGGTTGTTGAGACAGTGCACCTCTGGTGGCGGGGTAGGTGTGGTGAGGGTGAGGAGGTGTGGGTTAGGGGGCTTGGCCTGTGTGTCTGAGACCTAATTCTGGTCAGAAGTGAAAATATGCAATTGGGAAGCCATAGAGATTATCGATTTGGGTTTTCTTCATACGATTGTGGGAATTCAACTTCTGGTAAAGGCCTAAGGGAAAATATTTCACTGGAATCACCATTTTTAAGAGGTAGATTGTGACCTATAGTGAGTCATAAAAACAATTTAGTGGGTGCAGTCAGCATTGCTTTGAAAAAACTGACTGATTAGGAAAGAATAATAAAAAATATCAGCAGGCATTGCACGTGATAAAAGTACGTATTATTTTGTAAAACTCTTGTCTGATACACACACGCTGGTGATGCCACACAGCATTTAAGAGCTATGGCTCTGGCGCCGGGTGGCCTGGCTTGAGCCACGGCTGGGCCACTTCCTAGCTGTGCGACTTGAACAAGTCGCTTTTTTGCACATCAGCTACATCCTCTGAAAAATCGTGACAACCATTTTATCTACCTCACCAGGTTGTTATGAGGACTGACTACAATAAAAACACATAACATTCTTGCAAAATATGGTGCAAAGTGAGGCTATGTATGTGTTCACTGTGAATTTTATACAGTGCTTCTGAGTCACACAAAAAAGTCCGCAAACCATGAACTAGAAAATGCCAACCCCGACAATGCTGCCCCCTCCCAGGGCCCTAACCTTGGTTGGTGCCTAACTCACAAAGAGCCTCCTAGTTTCTCTGGTGTGGGCCATGTTGGGAACAGGCCAAAACGCAGCCTTCCTTGCCTTCTCTTCCGAACTCTCCTGAGAGCAGTTTCTCACCACAGGATGCTGGGCCCCAAAGGGTGGTGCTTAGCAGAGCCACAGAGCAAAGAGGTAGCATTAAGTACCTTGAGAGACCAAGGAAAGGCCCTTTACTCTGGGAAGACCTACCAAACTCATGTGGCGAATGGCATTAATGCCAGCTGTCACAAAAACAAAATTTAGTTCCAGGAGTCTCTGCTGGAGCTGAGCACCACCCCCACCCCACCCCCTCTCCTGCCCCCCTCTTTCCCACTCTCTCCCTCTCCCTTCCCCCTCCTCCCACTTAACAGACTTCAGGCTCCCAAAAGACTTAATGAACTACAGCTTTCGTCTGTTTCAGGCATTTACTCATGACAGAAAGAATTACCCTTTTTGCCAGGAGAGGAAGAAACGCTTTAGTTATCAGCAAAGCTGGCAAGGGCCCAGGCGGCCTCTGGAACAGTCTGTGGCAATGAGAATGCCAGAGGCAGACATTCCACTCCAGGCGCGCAGTCACGTGGGGGCCAGCCTCCCCCAAACCCAACCCAGCGGCGAAGAAGCCGGCCCTGCCTCTTGCCCTCTTTTCTGGCCACACTCTTGTAGCTCAGCCACATGCAGGGTGGGAGTGCAGGGCCCTTGGTTAGCCTATGGCGATCCGTGGAAGTAAATTATGATCAAATGAATAGCTCTCCAAGGAATACCTCTCTGTGCCAGCACTATGTGTGGAGAGGCCATTAGTAGAGTCCTTACTGTTGGGCAGGGTGTGCAGTCCTCTCCGGCCGGGGCGCGTAGGGAGAGCGAGCCTGGGGACTGGTGTTTCAAGGCCTCTTGCGTTTCTCATGTGGCTGTGGCTGCTATTACCACTGTCCTGGACATGGTCCCCCGAGGAAAGGTGAGAGTGACAAGAGAGAACCACGCCCACTCGGAAGTACTCTTTCCAAGCTGTTCTCATACCCTGCAGATGCTCCAAAAACCTGGGGATGTCCATGAGCGTCTTCTTGGTCATCCTTCCAGGAGTCGGGCCTGAGGCTCAGGAACAGGGACAGCACTGGGGCCGCACAGCTCCAGCTGCTCGGCCAGCTCCATCCCAGCAGAGCGCTCCACAGCCGGGGGAGGGCGGCCTCTGGGGCGGCAGTAGTGGCAGTGGTGGGTACAACCTGAGGGCCTAATCTCATTATTTTCTCCGTCCCAAGAACGTAATGGCCAGTGTCCCGCACACAGTAGGGCCTCAATAACATGTTGCTTTGAACTATTTCTAGTGCTGGCACCAGCTTTCTGAGTGACCCATGGCAAGTCATTTCATGAGTATGTTTTCCTTCTCTGTAAAGCAGGGATGATGATAATGAAACCTTGAAGGTTGTATCACGGATGAAATGACGTGTAACACGAGTCGATGCTCACTATGTGAGCTCTAGAGCGCCACCAAATGGAGGATGAGGAAACAGTTTTACAGCGAGGTGTCTAAGCTGGGCCCTTCTGTTGCCATGGTAGCAGCCAAAAGAAGCGTTTTTGTATGTGTGTGAAAATTCTTTTAGGTCTCTGGTTCTCAAACTCTTTGGTTTCAGAACGCACTTACACTCGTAAATATTACTGAAGACCTGAAAGAGTTTTTGCTTATGTAGGTTATGTCTATCAATATTTACCCTAGTAGAAAGAAAAACTGAAAAATTTAATATTCATTTAAAAATAATGAAACACACCATTGCATAGTAACATAATAACATTTTAATGAAAAGTTGTATTTTCCAAATACAGTTAGGGAGAAGAGTGGCATTAATTTACATTTTTACAAATCTCTTTAATATTAGGCTTATTAGAATCCAGTTGGAATCTCATTAGCTTCTGCATTCAATCTGTTGTGACATATTGTTTTGGTTGATGTAGATGAAAAAAAACCCAGCCCCACTCGGATATGTAGTTGGAGAAGGGAGAGATACTTCAAGAGCCTTTTCAGATAATTGTGGATATTCTTCTTCGATACTACACCCAAACTTGACAAATGACAGCTTCTTAAAGGCTAGATGTGATCTGAGATCTGAAACCATATCATTAAACTTCATACTTAGTTACATGAAAATCCATTGGTCTGTTTTACACTGTGAATGAAGTTTTTACCCCTGCATGCTTCTGTAACATCCTGTATTGTCATTTGGAAAATGGTGGTTTACTAAGTTATGTAGATCCTCCAAATGTTGACACTTTTCAATGTACATTATGAAAAACCACATTTGTTAAGTATAGCGCTGATCTTAACAGAAAAATCTTCGAAGTATTGGGACTTCACGGTGATAGATATATTTTCCAAAATTCTAATTTTTGCTCAAAAGCTTACATTTTATCACTGGCAATAAATACCATCAGTTTTCTTTGACACGACAGGCCGACTTTGTTCACTTTTGAGAAAAAGTCTGCCAACTACCCAAGCTTGAATTACCATGGTTTTTCTGTCATTCATTCTTTTAAGTGAAAACGGTGTTTCATGAAACAGTGGCTAATTCAGTGTGCAACCCAATCTCTCACGTGCTTTTCCGTGAGGTAGCCGTTGCACTCTGGTATGCAGCCCAAGTGCTTTATGTGCGCCTCCTATGTCATCACACAGAATATTAAGAACTGCTACCAAGGGCTGAAACTTGATAAACTTAAGATTTACTGCTTCATCAAGGATATTCCAAGGGAAACTGGCTTCCCCCGCACCGCCGGGAGTGCATGGCCGTGAGGAATGCGATGATTACTAGAATAGTTAGTTTGCTGCCTCTTCTCCCCACTCCATTTCAGATAAGATCCTGGTTCACTGTGCCATGGGCCGCAGCCGGTCGGCCACCCTGGTCCTGGCCTACCTGATGATCCACAGGAACATGACGCTGGTGGAGGCCATTCAACAAGTGGCGAAGAACCGCTGTGTCCTACCCAACCGGGGTTTTCTGAAGCAGCTCCGGGAACTGGACAAGCAGCTGGTGCAGCAGAGGCGACAGGCCCAGCACAGCGACGAGGGCGAGAAGGCCAGCGAGGAGGAGCTGTAGGGCCCCACGTGGGGCAGCGGAGACACTTGGGAATGAAGAGGGACGGCTGAAACAGCTCTGGCCTGTGACTTCTCTGTCACGGAGAAGGGACAGTGAGACCAAAGCTTGACTTCTTCCAAATCATCTTAAACTTCCGGGGTGTGTGCTGACGACAGAGAGGATTGAAGGCTGCCTCCTGGACGAGTCCAGTGCTTGGCTTCACAGCAAAATAGGGCAGATGGGCTTCCCAGCAGAACTGGTTGCAGATGAATGCAGGTCTGCGTACAGGCGCCTGTATTTTTTATTGTTTTTATAAGATGGGAGCAGACAAGGATTTTAAAATGTATAGGCATTGTGCTGTGATTCAATGTTTGGCTGTCTGAAAGTCACACTCTTAAAAAATAATTTTGAAATATAAACATATTTTCTAACCACAGAAAAGTGCCTGGGAGTGCCATTCTTCAGGAGAGTTTGCACAGCTCATTAGGGAGGCCCCTTTCTGAGGCACCTGCTTTTCCCTACCGCCTCACACATCCTGTTTTTGATGGGACCCCCAGGGTCAGGCCCCCATCAGTGCTGCTCTCTGAAAGCTGCACAGAGCAACTCATTTGGTGGGACGGGGAGCGGGGTCCTGGGCCCCTGCACAGGATCCCTGCTTTGGGATCCCCCACCCTCCTCAGGGAGCCAGGACTCTTCAAACATTTAGCCAGAGTTACCAGTACCCAGAGATACTCAGTAAATTGTGGTACATTTGCACAAGAGTTTGACTTTATAACTTTGGGAAAGAGGGAGGAGACACTCTTTAGGGAATAAGAACACAGGGGAACTCCTTTCATTTTGATTCTTGTTTTCAGTCCCACCAGAAAGTCTTTGCCAATGTGTCCGCCCTGGGAGAACAAGGCACCCGGGTGAGCTCAGGTGGGGAGTCCCCCTTCCTTGAGAGTTCAGCCAGTCACCCTGACTCTCCGATTTTCATTCTTGAGGACAGCAGCAGGCACCGAGCAGGTAGAGATGGCTTCTGGAACTAGGAACAATCGGCCAGACAGAACCCAAAGAGATACTGATGTAGATGCTGGCAGTCAAGGACCAGACACCAAAACTGCCTACAGAAAACAGAGTGTCATAAAGGCCTATGCGGAAAATGTGCAAAGAGGCTAGCTCAATCCTCCAATTTGGCTGTGGTTTTCAGCAGAATTAAAGAGGCGGTTTGTCATGAAGCATGGTGTCCAGCGGCTCAGCAGCTGTGCAAAGCCACCCAAGGGTAACCCTGTGAACTTTGGGGGGCTGCCCGACTTTTGTGCCAGAGGGGAGGACTTGCGGCCTGGGCCTGTCTGGGCTGGCTTCCAGGAACTGCCCGGGGTCTGCTCTACGTGAGTCATCTTGGCCTGAGAGGAATCGGGTCCTCATCATGACTCAGATTTGAGTGTGATGAAAGCTGCACACAAGCTCTTGGAAAAGAGTCGCCAAAACAAACACCTTTCCCCCACCCCCCCACCACACACGTGAACTCTAGGGTCATAGTGGCCCCTACCTAGACTTTTCTATCACAGGATCCTAATAATTGCCTCGAAACTCAGTTATCTCCTAGGTCTGATCTATTGCTTGTCCAGAGAAAAATCAGTATTTCCATTATAATAAAATATGTGGAAAGTACAGAACACCTAGAGTTTCCACGCTGGTGTTCTCTCGAGTCCTACCCTTTCCTATGTGCTCCAACCTCTGAGCACAGCAGAATCAGAGAACTTTAAAGTTGCAAGTCCAGCCTTTTCACTGTGGTTCCTGGGAGCTCGGGGGTAGGAGAAACAGGAGTGTTGGCAAAAGTGTTTCAAGTCTTCAGAAGTAAAATATTCAGTCAACAAGTATTTATTGAGTACCTATCGCACACCAAAAAGTGGGGTTAGGAGGCCAAAAGTAGAAACAAAAATACATGTTGCGATCGAGGGCCATGAGGAAAACAGATAGTAGAGTGAACTGGGGACAGGGCTGGGGAGAAACACACTCTAGACGGGTGGCCGAAGACGGCGGCTCTGAGATTGGGGTGAGCCGAGCCTTGAAGGAGCACACCTTTCAAATGGGAAGGGAACATTCTAGGCTGAGCAACAGCACAGGGGAAGGCTCTCAGGTGGCAAAGGAATGTGTTTTGGGGCAAACACTCCAAGGTGTGTTTGCGGAACTGCCCATCAGTGAAACTAAAGCGCACGGATGAGGCAAGGAGTGGAAGGAGAGGGGTAGAGATGCTAGATTTTATTCTAAGTGCAAAGAAAACCCATTGAGAGGTTTTAAGCAGGAAAAAGGTACTGTCCATGTTTTAAGGAAATCGCTCTGGAAAGAAAAAAATCACCGTTGCTTAAGTATGGAAAATGGATTGTAGGAAGTTAAGAAGGGAAGCAAGAAAACCAGTTAGGAGGCTGTTGGAACTGTTAATAGGAAAGAGGAAAGTGACTTGGACTAAAGCAGGGCCAGCGGAAAAGTACTCAAGATTATTTTGGAATTATCCTGGAGAACCAGCAGAACCTTGATAGGGAGGGAGAAATGAAAACAATCACTTCGGCTTCTTGGCGGTGCCTTAATACTGAGATGGGGTCCAATGGGCAGAAATGGGAGCAGGGGGCTGCAGATCACCAGTTATATCATGTCTGCTAAGACATACAAAAGGTGTCCCATAGCATTTGACCTTAAGTCTAGAGAGAGCTCAGGCTAGAGACATACTCGTGGATGTTATCTGTAGAGAGGTGGAATTTGAAATCATTGCACTGAGTTGAGAGGAAAGAGGCAGGGCGCCCCAGGAAAGGGGACAGAGACAGGAGAAGAAAAAGCACGAGTGTGGAATTATGGAAGCCTGGGTACAAAGAAATGGAAGGTACTGCTTTGTAACATAACTGTGCTTGTACTCTGAGTACTGACTATAGACCAACACTTGCTGGGAACAACAAAGTAACTTGTATTTGTACCACACTTTGGCAGTTTTAAAGCACCATATATTTATTATCTAAGCCTTTAAATCAGAGAGATGACAAGTCATGGTCTTTTCAGAGTAAAGTGCCACAGGAAAAAGCTGAGATTTGGAGAGAACCAGGTTTTTGGAGCTGTAATCTCATCTGTAAATTGAAGACAAAAGCCCCATCTCCTGTACAAGGTGTATGTGTGTGGAACACATGGGAAGACTGTTTGTGAAAACTTTGTGACAATATTGTTACTATTTCTAAAACAAAATGTTGGCAAGGAAGGCCCATGCCTTCCCACCCTGGTAGGCACCACTCGACCTATTAAAAAGTAAAGGTTAGCAACTGACAACCTCTTCTTGTTGACCCTTGCGAAGGAAAGAACACATTACTGGGTTTAAAAGATGGGGCCTGTTAATGAATCTAAACCTAATGGTGACATTTCAGTCCTGATAAATCCAAGTTCCTGTTTTCCAGGATCATTTAGGGCTGAATTGACTTCTCTAGTGAGAGTGGGTCAATGAGGAGGGTGCAGGGTGTTCTGAGGCAACCTCAGATCAGCAGCTCATCTCTTATGCCAGGCCTTTCCGTTCTGTCAATGAACGCTGGGACCTGGGGCCAGCTAAAGGGCTCCCATACCTGGCTCTGCTGCAGTCCCTAGGGGGCTTGGGAAACACAAGGAGTCCCAGTCCTGTTCCTCGATTCTAGTCTGGCAGGTCTGGGCCTTGTCCATAAGCTCCCTGGAGGGCTGTGAGGCAGGCAGGATGTGGGGGCGGTGGAGCCCGGGTATCACACAGAGCAGAGGGTGTGATTGGCAAGCCACTGCCAAAGGTAACACAGAGGGGAAATCTCATTCCCCAAAGAATCTTAACACAAGAGGAAAGAGACCAAATACGTGAAGGTTTCAAGGTGAGGCCTTTGGGAAGTTCTGCATGGCTTCCGATCAGATTGTTAGCAGGCCCTCTACCCCATCTTGCAGGCTCAGGCAGCCTCCTGCCTGATGTGTGGACTCACTGAGCTGCCAAGGTCCTTGGCTGCTCCCAAAGTGACACAGCAGCTGATTCAAACAAGCAGCACACAGTCACCTCCCACTCTGGAGGTGGATTAGGTTTCCTTTCCTAGCAGCACAGCTTCTGAAAGGTTCTCGTCTCCCCTTTGTGATGACAGCTCCTGCAGAAGTGTTTTTTGGAAACCCTCCCTCAGCCACTACAGATTTTCCATTGACTGTGTAGTGTGGAAGGGCTCAAAAGATAAACTCTTTGACACTAAGCCCAGAATGCTTTGTAACTATGAGAGTAAATAAATAAATAAATAAATAAAGATGAGAGTACAAGGCAAAACCCTTGATGGGCAGCCTCCCTCTGTAGGGCCTATGATTCTGGGGTATATGTACCATCCTGCTTTTTTGGAGTCTTATTGTCTCCTTTTAAAGTTTGTATCTATGATCTGTACAACACCTGATGTGTGTGTGCATGCACACGCACATGCTGAATCACTGGTGGAAAAGCAACATTCTTTTTCCAAGAGGTATAAAAGTTGTGGCTGGCTTCACAGGGCAGCTGTGAGCACCCGTGTTTAGACACTCTGGAGCTTAATGAGGCAGTTTCACACGGGTGCCAAGTCAAGCATACACTTCTAGCCTTGTTGCTTGAATAATCAGCTGTTTTTAACAGACAGAACTTTCTCTGAATTCCATAAAATATTTGAAAACACTGACTTTTTTCAAAGGGGGCATGGAGGGGGTCTAAACTTTAGACACCAAAGAAAACATCCAATCATTCATTCACAACAGAGCAAAACTTTCACACTTTTTAAAAGGAAATAGTTTTTCGAACATAATATTCCAATCTGGATGCTCTTTTTTTCTGGTATTAGTCTTTAGAGAAATGAAGTTTGCTACCACTGTGCTAGGCCCTGAGGGGAGTTTATACAGACTGTAAAACTGAGACAGATGGGTATTTGTGCAGGATCCCTTTGCAAATGAAGATCAAAGTCAAAAAGAAAAAAACAAATTCACTTTATTTTAAAGACAATGATTGGCATACAGAAGGTATGCACCAGCATAAAATAAACTTTCATGAAAAGCATTAAAATCCATTATAAATTAATTTATTAAATAGGTATTTGGTATATGTGATGGTTTTATTAAGATATTACTCTTATTTATTGCCAACCCCCCTCCCCCAAAGTCAAAACAAATCAGAAAACCTCTTAACTCCAATTTACACTAAATAATTTATTTTCCCCAAATGTGTATGTGTTCTGAGACGTGACACATGATACAGTTCAGTTGGTCATTCTCTATCGATCATAATATGACAGGACACAAGAGGCTAAAAATGGCTCATCATAATTTATTTTATGTTAAAATGTACAGCTTTTTTTTGTTTTTGTTTTTTTTTTTGAAGTGACTGACTAAAAAGAGAACAGATAAATACAAGAGTGTCGCTGGCTCCTATTTTATACAAGGATTATGCCTCCCCTGCTTGGCCCTTACAG